TTTTTTTGTAACCTTGGCCAGATCTGTGCTTTGCCACAATTCTGTCTCTGAGCTCTTCAGGCAGTTCCTTTGACCTCATGATTCTCATTTGCTCTGACATGCACTGTGAGCTGTAGGGTCTTATATAGACAGGTGGGTGGCTTTCCTAATCACGGTCAATCAGTATAATCAAACACAGCTGGACTCAAATGAAGGTGTAGAACCATCTGAGGGATGATCAGAAGAAATGGACAGCACCTAAGTTAAATATATGAGTGTCACAGCAAAGGGTCTGAATACTTATGACCATGTGATATTTCAGTTTTTCTTTTTTAATAAATCTGCAAAAATGTCAAAAATTCTGTGTTTTTCTGTCAATATGGGGTGCTGTGTGTACATTAATGAGGAAAAAATGAACTTAAATGATTTTAGCATATGGCTGCAATATAACAAAGAGTGAAAAATTTAAGGGGGTCTGAATACTTTCCGTACCCACTGTACATCTCATCTGGGGAGGGGCCTATCAGGAGGAGCTGGAAAAAGTTGCTGGGGAGGGGGATGTCTGGACTACTACTAAGCCGCTGGACCCCTGACTGACCCTGGATAAACTTAATAATGGATGGATGGATATAAAAGGCTCAAACATCTGGAGTCCTAGTACATTTCAAAACAAATCATGTATAAACTTAAGATGTAAAACTACCTGAAAATATCCAATGAAAGAAAAAAATGCTAAAAACATGACTGTGTTGAGGAAGCAAAGACTGAGGACGAATCTAAAGAACAGACAGACTTCAGTTAAAAAACTCTGCATTAGGAAAGTTAGTTGCCTTTATTTAACCAGGCATTATCTCACTGAGATTCCAAATGTCATTTGGAAGAGAAACTTGGCTAAGACAGCAGCAACAGCTGTTACAAAACATAAACTACGTTTGCACTGTTAAATAACTCACTTATATAAACCTAATTAAAACATCAGTAACTTTAAAAAACAGTAACACCTTCTAAAAAGATTCCATTTCCCCAGAAACCATAAGTCCTTTGAATTCACCCAAAGTCACTTTCTCCTCCAACTTGAGGTCTTTGTATTATTTATTCCAGGCAGAAAGAGCAGTATATCTAAATGCAGATTTTACAAATTCAGGCCAACCCTTTGGCACAGTGAATAACAAGAAGTTCTGTGATCTCAACTCATACCTCGAATCACAAACCAGGTTCATAAAAATACAGATAAATTGGCAATAACTTCGAAATCAGCCAGTGAGTTGATCTACACACAGCAAGAGACGGTCATCTAACCAAAGAATACAACTTACAATGATGGAACCCACTGATAAATCTCCATACGCTGTGATAAACTGAATCTATAGATTTTAAAAACACTGAGCCAAAGCTCACAAAAAAACCAATATCACAGTAATCTATCAATGGCAAAAAGGAAGCAGATAGCAAGAGGCTCCTTTTCTACAGCTAAAGTGATGAATTTAAATTTGTTCAGCCAGTTGTGTTGTACTGTAGCCTTAAGAACACTGTAACATCCGTTTACTGTGAATTTTAATTATATTTTGTATAAGGATTGGTGCAATCAGCTTCAGCACACGCCTTTAAAGGGCACGACATGAGATTATTTATATTATTTATTTTTACTTACTTCCCATTCACTGGCCACGTTCGAGTGATATCACTGACGTAACCAAAGTATTCACAGCCACCATCGAACAGGACCATTTCACCATCCTGATGGAGGAGGGAAAGAAAGAAAATGAGTCATTTACATTATTTTATACATGTATAAATGCTTAACATGGGTGTTTACTGCACCTTATAACACTACTGGTCAAAAGTTTTAGAACTCCCCCATTTTCTAGTTTTTATTTTGACATTAAAGTTCAAGTCCAGTAAAAACCTTAAAGCTAAAAAGTAAACTAGTAAAGAGGCTGAAAAAAAAGTCACAAAAAATAAAATGCACTGTATGACAATGTCATATAAAACAGGCCTTTTCAGGGATCAGGTAACAGGTTAACCTTTCTGTAGCAGTGGAAGTAAATGGAGCTTTGACAACTGATGCACACAATTCCTACAGGTGTCCCAGCTTTGTTGAGGACTTGTAACAAAGGTACTTCTTCCGTTTGTCCACTTCTACTATGTCTGGTTGGTTGGCCATTACCAGTTTGTATCTGGAAGTCTCACAGGATCTTAGCTTGGTCATTCTCAACCACCTTTGGAGGTGTATCCCAAAGGACTTGTAACAAAGGTAGTGCTGGAACAGACTGTTGCTAGACCCTCTGAAACATCTTTTGGAAAAAGGCCATGAACAAAGGAAGTCAGAGCTTCTCAGGGTTTCAACCTATAGCAGGATAATGAGCTAAGAAACCCAGGCTGTGGAGAAGGAAAGGACAAACGATGGAATGGCAGCACACTGTCCAGACTTTCCAGATGAAGAATGAAAGCAAAGCAATCTACTAATGCAACACACCTGAGAGAACATCCAACGGTGCTGTCTGACCCAGCACTGTTCAGTTGTAAAGAGAATGACACAGGTGTGTTGGGCTGTTGCGTGCACAGATGACTACTGGAAACATGGAGGTTGTCTCAAACGTTTGACCGTTCATGTATGACAGGATGGATCCTTTAGCACGTTCAGCTCCGTGCTTTACCTTGACAATCTGGTTGTTGTTGATGTAATGCAGAGTATTGGCTCGATTCCCTCCAGCAACCACAGGGGGATAGGCCAGGAAGTTGGCGCCACGGATCCGGTTCTCAAAGTCAAACTGGAATAAGATTTTATGGTAAAGGAGTGAGTGTGAGCCGTCATCCATACTGCCCCCCCCGCCGGGCCTCAACTATATCAAGTTAACTAAACTAAAAATAAATTATGTCACTATCGGCTGTTCCCATTAGGGGTCGCCACAACGACTCATTACGTTAACAACTGGCATGTTGAAGTTTGGCACGTTTTACAGCAGATGCCCTTCCTGACACAACCCTGAATCGAACCTGGGCTGCAGCGGTGAGAGCTATGAATCCTAGTCCATCAGGGACCCCTAAACTGAAAACAAATGATCTCTAAATAAATGATATCATTTTGTTGAAATGACATCTTGGTACAGTTATTCCACATAAAAGGATATTTTAATAAATAAAGTAATTAATTAAAATCAGAATCAGCTTTAGCGATCAAAATTTGACGGCGCTACAGACAAGTAAGCAAGATAAGACTAAGAACAAAAAAAAAAGAAAAGAAAAATGTGCAAACAAGAAAAAGGAATGTGCATTAGGAAAATAAAAATAAATTAAATTAAAACTTAATAACAGATACACACTGACCTTTTCCTATGCCAGAGCACGACCACTAACATTAAATACATAACATCTAGTCCTAATGTCCAGTCCTAATGAGGAAGACGATTCATTAATTATGAATTAAATGGATAATCAATGTTCAAAACTTGCATTAATCACTATAAAGAGCCTGATCAATTAAAAGACAAAGATCATATGAGGCCACACGTGACAGAGACAATGAAGAAACAAACAAACAGAGGTCAGCTGAGGTTTTCACTTACCTTAGCAAAGAGCACAGCTTCGTCCACGTCTCCGTGAGAAAGAGCCATTGTCCTCCTAAAAGCCTAAAAACAAAGATTCAAGTTGGAGAAGGGACATCTAGAGTCCAGGCAGTAAATACTTGGACAACAACACGCCTCCTCTTCAGGCTCCGTGCTTTCGATTTGAAATAAAATAATGACCTCTACATTAAAGGCCTTCGCCAAGAAGTTAAGGTCTGGCCTGAATGTTAAGAAAACAGCTTGCAGGTTTTTAAAAGTATCAAGATCAAGATCAAAGATTTTTATTGTCAATTCATTGTCTTTTTATGTTCTGTGGTGAGTCACAGTCCAGGGGCAGGGGGCAGAGGGGGGGAGGTAATGGACAGCGTTCAGCATCCTCGCAGCCTGATGGATGAAGCTGTTTGTAAGTCTGGTGGAGTGGGCCTGAAGACTCCGATACCTTCTCCCTGAAGTATCTGTGAATTAAAACTACAGGTTATAAAAACACTAACCTGTGCAGTGATGCGACCTGCTTCTTGCATGAGCGCCACCTCTGCTGAGCTCTTCAGGGCCCTGAGATGGTGTATGAGGGGCCTGAGAGAGTGAGGCACTGGCCCAGCCCCCAGCAGGGCACACATGTTGGTCTGGTGAAGCCGAGGGTGGGCGGGCTGAGCGCTGTCGTACCACAGCATAGTTCCTGAAAGTGGATCAGAGGGAAAAAAGGTCAACCGTTAAGTCCTAATTAATTAGTGGTCAATGTCAGCTTTTATTTCAAAAGATCTTTCCAAAAGCAAAAATACAAGAGCAAAACCTTTTAAGGAACAGATTAAATAGTATGTTTATCTACACTAACATAATCTACAAATGTTAATGTATGTGGCTACCTAGTTTACTATCAACAATAGCAGTATTTTGCTTAGTTGTGTTGCAGTATTTTAAAAGGCACCGGGCATGTCACTTGCTTATAGGTTATATTAGAAAGGTACCTCTTATTTACTACTAAATCTACCCTGTGGGAGCAAGATACTAGCATTTCAGAGCTCTGTGAAGAGATGTGTCCTCATATTACTGCCCACCCACCTTTAAGGCTCTTGAGCACAACACCCAGTTCTTCAATGCTATGAACTCTCTCTATGCCGGTCAAAGCAGCCGCCCCATCCTTCCCTGACCGGGGCCCATCCCATAGCTCTCTCCCAGGGTCTCTGCAGGGGACGAACAAGATGGCTTCGTCCGGACGCCCTTTCCCATAAAGAACCAAGGCGCTGTCAGGCTCTAGGATGCCACTGAGGTAGAGGAAATCCTGGGGAATAGGAGGGCTCTGGCTTAATTGGCAGAATTTGGCTAAAGTTACAATCAATCAATACCCCAATTCAAAACCAATTACAAACATAAAGTTGTAATGAAAAAGCAAGGTCACACATAATGGTGGTACTTCAGTGTAACATAGTCTGTATAAAAAGATGGGTAAATCCCATTTCCCTTATCTGAGTGAGTTCTGGGTTGAGCGAGGACGTCCCATACTCAAACTAACAGAGGAACATGAAAATTAATTTAAAGATGGAGGAACTCAACTTGAGACAAAACATTTACCTGGTTCTGGTGGAAGGGATAAGGGATGTCATTGGTCATGTAGCGGGTCGGGTGGGACAGAACAATGACCACGTGGGTGCTGGAGGAGGCAGAAGGTCCCAGTCGGTCTGCCTGGGCCTCAATAAGTGAGGCCAGTCGGTGGCGCCGGAGCTCATATTCTGTCTGGCTCAAGCCTGGAGTCACCTCCCCTGAGGAGCCAAGATCAGAGATAAGGTGTTACAGTGTTAAACAGGAGCTGTTCGCCTACAACTACGCTGTGCTCTATTATATGTTACATGCGACAGAGAATGATTAACGAACAGAATTGTGTAAACTGTGACTGCCTTGAGTTGTCCATATGTACAAAAGCTTCTTCTCCATATCCTCTGTGTGCACCCCATTATAAACAATACTCACCGTGTTTGATGAGGTGTGGGTGAGTGAAAGGGCTCAGCTGGCCCAGGTACCGAGGTGGAACCGTCTTTGGTTTCAAGCCTCCTGGTTGCACAGAGATATTACTGCACCAGACACGTCCTACAGACAGCAGCACAACACAGGCCAAATATCAGATCATGAAAAGCCCCTTGAGATGAATCAGATATATGGATGAATGGATAGATAAATCACAGCACCCAAAATAAAGAACTGTATAAAGGTGTAAGACTAAAATACAAAAAGTATAAGCATAAAAAATAAAAGAAATATTCATAGAGTAACAGAGTTTGTATATATAAAATTCCCCACTCGCCCCCACCTTGGAGCAGTCTTATTCCTTCCTTCAAGCTCGGGTCCTCTACCAGAGGCCTGGGAGCTTGAGGGTCCTGCACAGTATCTTAGCTGTTCCTAGGACTGCACTCTTCTGGACAGAGATCTCAGATGTTGTTCCTGGGATCTATTGGAGCCACTCTCCCAGTTTGGGGGTCACAGCCCCCAATGTTCCTATTACCATGGGGACCACTTGTGCCTTCACCTTCCACATCTTTTCTAGCTCTTCTTTCAGCC